ATTATATCGTGCATCCCTAAAAAAATATCTATATATATATATATAAAAAAAAAAAAAAAAAAGCATTTATGAAGGAAGTCAGATTTGAGGTGATGAATTGAGAAAGGAAACAGCAAAAATGTGATCGTGTATGAAATAGATGGTGGGGGAGTCAATTAACGCAAAGAGGAAAAAAGGTTACTGCATTCGGATTAGGTCTGAGCAATTAATTGCATTTGCAATATATGTTTATAGTAAATCTAACAAAAGGCGATATTCACATCTCGGAAGGACAGAGTTTTGGTCCCATTACATTTATCAAGAGTAAGACACAAAATTTCTCTTGGGCCCTTTACCTGGCTCTTACGCACCAAAGCATGCAGATCCATGCATGCAAACAGAAATACAATACTTTTTCAACAGGTAACAGTAATTTGCTCTCAAGGTTATGAAAAATTCAAGCCTAGTGTAAAACATACTTTTGGGTAGTGCAGAAAATTAAAAATAAGATTGCAATATTGGTTCAATATAATTTGCTTTCTGATTTTTGGTAAAATCGTACAGCCTTAATTCAGATGTTTCTTTGCGTGTTCTATCGGGTATCGACCTGCTGATCGAAGGTACCTGGTGGCAGGCAGAGTCTGTGAGAGAGAGTCAGACTTTGGGTTAAAAACAGGAAGGCTGGAGTAGAATAAAGTTGCTATGCTTTATCCTGTTGAGCTTTTCACCTCTTCCATTGAACATGCTGGATTGGGAATCATTTACAGCCTATACAGACAGCAGTTGCCTTAAAGCTAGCTTTGCTAATGGTGCAAAACTCTAATATACAATACAGGACCATTTAGAATGTCAAATTCAAAATTGTTTTCAAACCAGAAATTTATTTTAGTCAATAATCTGCTGCACAGAGATAGAGGCATGCCTCTGATCATATTATAAATCATTAAAGCTATAGAGGATGATGTTTTATTTCCGGGTTTCTCATCTAAATAAGTGGTCGTCCTAACTGTCAATCATTCTGTTGATATGTTTACATAAGGCCGTCCTGCGTGCTGGTTGGCTATTTTTTTCTGCGCATGAGCACGTTCAGGCGGTCAGACAGTTATGAAGCTCGCATTTCTCCCCAGGGTTTTTTTGAAAATGGCTGAGGGTCGTAAGAGGATAAATGTCTACAAAGTGTAGAAAAAGAAAAAGCCAAAAAAAAAAGGCAGATATATCCCGGTGTGCTGTGCATGGAGAGCTCTCCTTGCAAAGCATTATGGGATTTGGTGACACAGCTACCCAACAGCGAAGACTAAAACCAAAGATGGCGCAGGAGGAGTTACATGACCAACGGGGAGCAAAAAGCAGTGATCATCTATCCAAACGGTCAGTTAACTGAGTGCTCTATGAAGTCCACTATATAGTCCCAGCACTATATAGTGATGGAGGGATTTAGGGGTTAGGGCAGAAGTTTGGACACTGTAAGCTTGATGAGCTATGAGAACAGCAATTTTTAAACAGAGCGTGCATGAGGAGAAATGGGCTTGTGCATGCTCTCGCATGCATTTAATTCCATCTCAGAAGCAAGAACAGGATTGCACATGTGCATTCTTTTTTTTTAAGTGGCAAAATTCATGAAAATCCTCAACAATACATTTAAAATACATTAAAATATGGTGATTCTGAACCACAAAGTCAAAGCTTTAGAAATCTGAATTCAGCCTAATATATTTCATTATCAGCCCATATCCACAAAAAATGTTCAGATATTTCATAAAAAGCTGGATTTGATCACAGACCCACCATGAATGGAAAAGGTAAAGATACGACTCCCACAAAATTAGGGGTCTTAAGTTTCAAAAATTGCACAGGAAGAAGGTCTTCTAAAGGAGATAGAGGGGAAAGAGCAGGTAAATCCAACTAGTGCTGTAATCATAATGCTCTCAGCCCCTCATGTCTCACCAAACGCTGATCTAAAAACTAATTTCACCAACATCCACCATTGTACCAGTCTTTCCTAAAGAAAAAGGAAAATGGAAGATAAAAAGGAAAGCAGTTGGAGGAAACAACAGTCTTGACAGAATTACAACATTTCAATCAGCTCTCACCCCTCCCTTCTTTCCCTTCATTCATCATTCTCTCCTCCTCAATTATTCCTGCTGTCTTTAGCCACGCCCTCCCTTCCCGCTATAGCGTACTTGTTTAGACTAGGTTGAGACAAATGGGAGAGACTGAATAGACTCGGAGTGAGGAGGTCAAGGAGGAGCTAGTGTGAGGGATGAGAAGAGGAGCTGGGAGGCTGAGGGGTAACTTATACTCATTATGCTTGGCCTTGTAAGGGAAATAAAACCCCACCAATGATGATGTACTACAAATGGCAGTCATTACACATTTGTAGAGAGTTGGTCTTGGATGAAGACCCCAAACAAAACCTTTGAGGTGAAAAATGACAGATAATGTAAGAAAGTCAAGGATTTAAATATTATATAAATAACAAGTTAGAACCTTTTTACTCCACAGTCTGACACTAACACAGATAAAACTAGTCACATTTTAGTTCAATTGTGATTAACAACTATACTAACATTGACTAAATGCCTATGTGACTAAAAACACATTTGTTTAGGATTGCCTTCGACTGTTCTAGTTAAACAGTTCAACTAAAACATATTTTCTTTAGTCCAACTGTTTTTAATATTCTTTTTTGTTTCTGCATTTTTTATTTTATTTATTTATTTATTTATTTTTCCTACTTGCTTTGATTCTGTTTTATCTTCCTGTATTTTAATCATGTAAAGCACTTTGCATTGTCTTTGTACTGAATTGTGCTATACAAATAAATTTGCCTTGCCTATGTGAGTTCTTATGCGTTCATGCTACCGATAAAGAACATTTTATTGGTAAATGGCCTGTACTTATAAAGCGATTTGATAAGTCAGGAGACTTTACCAAAATGCTTTACACTACATTTAGTCATTCACGCACACACTCACACACTGATGGTGTGTGAGTGTCCGTTCAGTGAGCCCTGGGAGCAGGAGCTCGAACAGACAACCCTCCGTTTGCAGGGCTAACCCCTGCACCCAACGCCACTGTCACCCCATATATTATATATGTTATATTTACTAATCTTCTGAGGAACAACAGGCCCTATGGAGACCACAGTCTGGTCCTAATCCGTTAGAACCCCATTTTCAATGTTAGAGGTTAGATTAGAGGTATGGTGTGGATTCTATTTAGGTTAAGGTTAGGAGTATGCTAATAATAGTTAGGGTAAATATTAAGGTTTGGTTTAAAGGCAGCAAATAAATCAGTGCTATTAAATGCAAAGTCCTAATATGCATATATCAAATATGTGTATGTATTTGTATTTGCAAATATATATATATATATATATATATATATATATATATATATATATATATATATATATATATATATACATATATACAGTATACACCCCTGCTAATGATCCTGCTCAGGAACCCTGACCTAAGGTTCTGGTAAAAAGTTGCAATGACAAACTTTGCACTTTAAAGTGTAATGTATAAACATTACCGTTTTTTTTTGTTCTTTCGCAGACTTGCAGACTTCAAACCTTTTCCATTAAATATAATTATTGTAACTAAGGCCAAATAAGCCAATCTTTGATTTATCAGACCAAAATGTTTCTTTTATTGTCCAGACAGATTTCAATCATTCTAGATTTACTGTATTTTACATCTTTTCAAACAAAATCACCATACTGCAGTCTCATTCAGTAAAACTATTTTAAAAATGGATTTAACTGATCCTGGATGTTAAAATGTTGCATTCAAACTAAAAATAATCTGCCTGTCTGGAACCAACAACCCCGCATAATTTATATTAACCCTCTCTTTGAGAATGGCTGTAACTCTACCCTCATTGAGAAACTGACAGAAAGCAACATTTTAATCTGGGTTATAAAGCTGTCATACTTTTTTATTAAAGATTGGTTAAAAAGAGCAATCAGCCTGCAATGGGGTAGACTACAATCCTAATAGAGAATTAGCAATGCTTTCCAAACAGCGATGAAGATAAAGTTGTTTATTATTCTTGTAAATAACGTCTCAATTCTAAAAATGTTGCCTGAGCAATGGCAAAAAAAACGGAAAATGCAGCTGGTAAAAACTGGCACAGAGCTTGGGAAATTTCCCTATTCTGTTTTTAATCAGAACCAGACAGAGATTCTGCAAACACATCTAAGCTTTTACAATGTCAGAATCTGCAGTAGACCTAAAGTAACCTGGTTTTCCATTACTGCCATCCACAACTTTATTAAGAAGCCTTACTTTGTATATAATAATAATAATAACAAAAGAAAAAAAAAACTAATAATAATAAAAAAAAAAAACTACCCGAATAAAAAAATTGAAAGAGTTCAAAGATAAAAGGATAATATCTGAATGATTAAAGCTTTTTGTTATTTTTAAATTGATAACAGAAAGAAAAAAAGAGCTGAATGGAGAGTTTTCAACCGTTTCTGAAGAGTAACTCTTATGCTGAGCTAATAATGTTCTCCACAATAGTACATTTTCTGAAGATTAAAAGCAAAAAAAAACAACCAAACTGTTAAAAAGGTCTCAGAGACCGATCAACGTAGGACCTGAATTAATAAGTTATGCTGCATATAAGTCATTTCCTTCATCTCTGTGTTTAAGAGGAGGTTTGAGCAGACCTGAGTTGAGGTCCCGTCCTGGGTTGAACGCTCTGCTGTTGACTGTTGGGGACAGCCTGTCGCAGCAGATGGTCTTAGAAACGTTGGTATTAAAATTTCCTTCAAACCTGTAGACAAACAAAGAGAAATTGTTTAAAAATTTACAATAAAACTGTTATTTCTTCAGATTTATCACAACGAACCAGATTCCTTTAACTTCAATAAAATATTAACTAAGAATTACAGGAATCTTATGAACAGAAAGGAAGTCCACAAAACATCTGCTTAAAGCAGCATTCTTTGCTTTACTCATTGCAGCCAAGTTTTACTGCTTACTGTGTTATCTGATGCCAAGAACATCTATTAATGCCGATTTTATGGCTTGTGAATAAAACTTTCCATGGAAAATATATGGATTTCTCCAAACATACCTAATACCAGCTGCCTAAATAAATAAAGGCTGAACAGTGTTTAAAACATCACTGTTCCCCCACTATGAAGTGTCAATCACTAAAGGACAACATGCAAACTCTATCATCCTCATATTTCCCCTAAATTCTAGCTACAGCCACGGGAAACCATAATTTTAACAAGTAGTCTATGATTTGACCCAGTTAACATGAAAAGAAACTGACCCTCTTTCTACAAACACAAACTTCAGTGGTTCCTAATCCTGCTCCTCAGGACCCACGTCCTGCATGTTTTAGATGTCCCCCTGCTTCCACACCTGGATTAAATTACTGGCTGATCAACTGTCCTTTGCAGTCTGAGTGCTGCAATCATTTGACAAAAAAACACATTTAAAACATCCATGAGACTAGGTCCTGAGGATGGATGGAAACACTGTTTCTGATATCTGCACTGGCCAATAAATCTGTTCTGTTCACTGATTCATTAGTGCATTTATTAGCCAAGAATTGAGATTACACAATGGGGAGGCAATGCACATCCAACCCTTTTGTTTCCTTTCTTAATAAATGTTTCTTTTTGTTTAAATTGAGCCTTCTGGTAACATTTGTAATAACTGTGGGTTTGTTTTAAATCTAAATGAAGTAGGAACATAAAATAATAATGTTCCTAAGCAGCATTTATTGGGGATTGGTATAAATAGGTGTCTAAATAATCCTCATTGGTTCTGCCTTAAAAAAAAAAAACTGTATAAGTAGCTCTACAATTTAAAAATCTATAAAACCTTGTTTTTTTAAAGAGTTTCCAATGCAAAAGCAGATCTCTTTGTCACTTTAAACATTTTGTTTATCATAATGTTTTAGAGAGATTTAAGCAACAACATGAACCAGAGTTAAGTGTAAAGCCTGCTTAAAAAAAAACAAAAAACAAGAGGTAGAAGAGGGGGGTGCACAGAGGAGCAGGGAGTCCTGCACTGCAGCAAGCTTCAGCCCTTTGATGCTCGCTTTGCATCAGCTAACTATCCCCAAGCGTCCATCTCCCTACCTTTAGAAACAGACTTTTCAGATTCACATCCTCAAACCTGGTCAATTTTACTGTTAAATTAATTTATGTTTGGAATGTATTCAAAAGTTACTCCTTTCCAGCCCTATAATTCATCCCAACTCTCCTTCAACCCAGTCTGTAAGAAGGAGGAGGGCTGTGAAATGTGTGCTAGATTTAAATATAACAAAAAATATATATATATTTCCCACTGCTTTGAATTGAAATGAAGAGAAGGAATGCTAGATTTTTAAGACCTTAATTAGCCAGTGGAATCTGATAAAAACAGAAATAGGGCTCAGCTTATCAGAAATGAGAAGAATGCAAATATTCTTCTTTTGGTTTGATATAAAAATGCAGAAATTGTGAAACTATTTGTGCAATGCATAAAATTATTCTTCGATTTTACATTTACAGCAACAATTACTGAAAAGCTGATAGTGGGTAGGAAATACTGAGAGTCTCCGAGGTCTGGGGGCATCAGAGAAATCATTTGAGGATAAACTAGAAAGGTAGAGCCTCTGAAGTAAAACTGTTTTTTTTTTTTTCCTAAGCAGTTACAAGCCATCCACTGTTTATAGAATCTGTTAGCCTGTACAAAGGAACCCGCGTATTTTCTCAAAGCAGACAGCTCTGCTCTATTCAAAAAGCCCCGTGAGAACAATTACCTTGAAGAGACTTGCTGCTGCGTGAGCCCCAGAGAGTAATACCATTTCTAATGTGTTTGCAATCCATCGTCTGCAGCAGCGGTGCTAGAGCAAGCAACACACTAACCTGAGGAAAGAAACGGTTGGAGGGGGAAAAAGGCCCCCAGCATCCAGCTGTAGATGATGGTGCTTCTATCTCCACAAAAGCGGAACGTAAAAACAAAATGCCAGGAACCTGGTGTGTAGCTCATATGAAAACTTATTAATCAGCTTCATGTAGAAGGAGAAATTGGAAAAATTCCCACTACAATCCAGCCATACGAATCTATGAAAAACAATCCATCTTAAATTACAAACTCCGTCTAAACAGGTTTCAATCTTAACTCATTCTTTACTACACCGCCTACGGTGTAATTATTTCAATAACCCAATTCACTAAATAAAATGCATGATAGAGAATAATTACACACAGACTGATGCTTTCAAGACTTTGTTAGTATTTGTTTTACTATTACAGATGAAAGTGAACAGTATTTGAATCCTTAAAAGATTAAAATAATAAACAAACGAAAAAAAAAACAGCAGGCTTTAAGTGTTTTTTTTTTATTCCCCAAATGACTCCTATAATCTGAGTAACAGGCCTAATATAAGAGTATACACTCAAGTCAATACACTGTCACAAGTACAGAACAACAAAATTCACTCTCTGCATTTAACCCATCCCCTTGGGGAGCAGTGGGCTGCAATTGTGCGGCGCCCGGGGAGCAGTGTGAGGTTAAGGGTCTTTCCTCAGAGACCCAGAGTGGCAGTCTGTAGGAGTGGGGCTCAAACTCAGAACCTTAGGATTCCAAGCGCAATGCCCTAACCACTAGTCCACCACTCCCAATATGACTATGTTACAGTTACCAGACCTCCCCGATTTTACAGTTTGATAAATAAAAGGGAGAACTGTTAGTACGGTAGAAAGAGCACGTGAGCATGTTTCGTGCAGAAACAGCTGTCGTGGTAGTTGGTTGCACATGAGGAACCAGGCTAATGAGGAGCTGCATTGTGTTGTGGTTAAATTGTGAATGCATTAAATTTTCCAGCCCTAATGAAAATCTAACATCACAAGTAATCTTCAAAGTTTAGTCAATCACTAAATCGTCCAAATCAATTCATATCATACTATCAAACTGTGTTCTACATGTTTTTTTATTAAGCCTCACAATCAACCAGCGGGGCCGGCACCGAATGTAGGGTTAATTTCAATTCAATTTATTTATATAGCACCAATTCACAACAAATGTCATCTCAAGGCACATTACAGTTCACAAGATCATACAGTCAAATTGATTCAGTTTTCTATCTAGGGAAAACCAGTTGAGTGCATCGACTCATTGACTCGAATGGGTTGGGTTGAAGCTGACTATTATTATTACGAGCACTGATCCACACCTGGAGGTGACAAACTTTTACCCACTAAGAACTTTGACCAGTAATATGAAAAGCGAGAAAAGACAGCAGTTCATAGCATCACCTGCAGTCAGTTATTCAAAAACATTGATACTCAAACACCATATACTGAAGTGATACTAATTGGTGTCATTACTTAAGACAAGATTGTTTGCTTATTTTTACTGTTGATAGTTTTAGATTTCTGGATTATTTACTCATTAAAAAGAACATTATGTCAGAGCGTATTTTAATGACTGTTTTTCCACCACTGCAGGTTGGAAATTAGAAGTGTTTCACATATTCTATACATCTCTTTTTATTCAGTAACCTAACAGTTTCTTGTTAACAGTGAGTTGATCTCACTTTTAAATTAATTGTTAGGCGAGTGATGAGATCAGACCACTTTAGATTCATTCATTAATCAATAATTTGCATTCAAGTATGAGACTGTAATTCAGTGGGAAATAAAGGTAAGTAAAACAGATATGGGTTATGGCAAAATAACTTTTTCTCTCAGTATGCATGGGAAACCTTTTTTTTTTCTTCTTTTTATAGGGATTCCTAGTCAGTAATAACTCAAGACCGTCTAGAGTAAAAGGCCATCTGAGAGCAACAGGAAGAGTTTTATTCCGCTCTAATAATAACAGCATTATGACCGCCTAACTATATTTTTTAGAAAGTTACAGACAATAAACGCCAACAGCCCCAATGAGAGTTTATAACTATGTGAGAGAAGGGGGTCGTTCCTACATGGAGTCCAGAAAAACATTATAAATCTAGTTTACAAGCAGATTAACTAAGCTGCATGAATCTTTACGGATGTGCTGCAGCAGGGAGGCCACAGCCCCGCAGCTTTCCTCTGCAACAGTTGATCATCGTAAAAGAGGGGAAAGTCTATGTTTGATAAAAACCTAAAAGAACTGCTGCAAATTGTTTTATTCATGTATGATTGGGAAATGTAAAAGAAATGCCTATTTAAAAATATTTTTTCTATTTTTTTTATCTGCAGTTGCATCTATAACTCACAGCTAAATCGGTGATCACTTTAAATGAACACAAAGCAAATAAAGCCAGAATGCCCCCCGTGCTTTAACTTCTCAGCTGAACTACATTTCTGTTTCATGAAAACAGAAATACTACACATAACCAAAATGGACAAATCTCGGTAAAAAAAAAAAACGCTGATCATTTCCTCTCCTTGTTCTGTGTTTGCAATTTCCCCCTTGCTTCCAGGAAAATCTTCAAAGATTAGTTTCACCCTTAGGAATGGAAGATCAATAAAGCCGAGCTCGCTCCACAGCTGTGCCCAAACATACCGACAGCAGACGAGAAGCCAGAGTCATTAACGAGGCTTGAACTTTTATCTGCTTCTACTGAAAAATCATTAATTGGATTCAATTAAAGGAGTTCTGACACAGGTGTCTTTGACCTTTAACAGCCACCATGAGGATTTACTGGGATCTACTTTCTTACTTTGGTCCGTCTCTTTAAATATAGCAGAGACAGACCAAAGTATTGCTGATGTTTTGGGCTCATAGTTGTATCAGCCGGTACTTTATTGTCTTTTTTTTATTTTTATTTGTTAAAAATGTCAT